ATGCGGCTTCACAGTCGGATTGGGCATCAAAAAAACTTGTTTGGGTTCCGCACGAAACGTATGGCTTTGCGGCGGCAGCGGTTTTGAAGGAAGAAGGAGACGATTGCGTTGTCCAGCTTCAAGAGTCTGGCAAACAAATGACCGTTCCGAAGGATGCTATTCAAAAAATGAATCCACCAAAGTTTGACAAAGTTGAAGATATGGCTAATTTGACGTATCTCAATGAAGCTTCCGTTCTACACAATTTGAAGTCGCGTTACTACTCCGGACTTATATATGTAAGTTCGGCCTCTCTCATGGACTGTTAAAAGACATATTCGGGCTTGTTTTGCGTTGTAGTGAATCCATACAAACGCATCCCTATCTACCGTGAAGAAATTGTTGAGTGGTATAAAGGCAGGAAGCGGCATGAGCGACCTCCACACATTTTCGCAATTGCTGATACAGCTTACAGAAACATGTTACAAGGTAAATTGATTTGCCCTCTTCATATTGTTTTCCACCAGACCGTGAGGATCAGTCCATATTGTGCACGTAAGTTTCTTGACTTTAGAGTAATTTCATTTAATAAGTGGAGAATCGGGCGCCGGTAAAACTGAGAATACAAAGAAGGTTATTCAATACCTTGCTTCTGTTGCAACATCTGCCAAGAATCAAAAAACTACCGCTAGCAATGTTCTTTCAAAAATGCACGTGAGTAAAGTTTCCGTCACTTGGCTTTCTCCTTCACTAGGTTTAAGTTTGCTTGTTAATCACAAAAATACAGTTGTGTATCAGAGCTTCTAGTTTCTATGACCTTATTTTGACAATTGATATAGACATTACTTAGATTGTACAAACTAACTTCGTTTGGTTTTTGTCAAAGCATGCTTTCACTTAGAACATTTTCCGTCCCAATACAAAACTATATTCTCTTAATTTTTGCCTGTCTACCCCCAGCAAGTTGAAGGAAAGTAATTATGGTTTGATAATATTTATTAAAGCGTTTTATTTCTTTTTTAGTCAAAGGATGTCAATATCGTAAGTATACGGCAAGACTGTTCTACTTTCTGCTGTTCTCTAATACAATTTATCTATCAAATTATTTTAACATCCATGCGGTCAACTGCCCC